TCTCTCTCTCTCTCTCTCTCTCTCTCTCTCTCTCTCTCTCTCCCCCCCTCTCTCTTTCCCTCTCTCCATTTTATTGCATTTTAAGAGAAAGAGGAAGTGATCTGATTGGTTTGCCTAGTTTGAAGACTCTCTCACCATTATAGTAGACTAATGATTGTCTTACTTTATTTACACCAGTTAAAACTTTATTTTTAAACCATCTCTGATTCTTTTAGAGATTTTTGTTCAAAGCATGACACCTGAGTGAAACACTGGTTTGATAAGAATAGTTCTCATTTTCTGAGCAAATAAGTACTAAGTTCTAAATTAAATTGAAAAAAAGTACAATTTTATCATTTTTATCTCAACAAAAGAATTTTACGACTGACTATGATTTTTCCAGCTGTTGGCGAGACCCCAGTAGCCTCGGGGGCGTGTCCGCTGTTTGCACTCAAGAGAGCCGTGGAAGCTGCCAGGTCGGATGTAGGCATGACGGAGTGGTTTCCCATGGGTACGATCTCGAGCTGGCAATAAAAGCATGACAGATCGCTTTTTAAAGCTTCATCATCATTGCCTTTCTCACTCTGGATCAGGATATAGACCACGAACAAACACTTTCCACCTTTCCCTATCTTGGGCTATTCGCTTGATGTCACTCCATGTCTTCTTTTAAAGCTTAGAATATAATTAATTGTTTTGTTCTTCGGGCTGGTGAAACTTGACAGACCAACATAGGAGCTATCAAATGTAACCTCAAACTTTTATTTTTATGAGCTTTGGACTCAAAACGATGGTTGGTTCCCAGTTTGTTTCTAATGAGGGCTGTCCTTTTTACTCTCTGCTATGATAGCCTACATCAGGAATAATGATAATAGCTCTAATAAGGACTCTCTCTCTCTCTCTCTCTCTCTCTCTCTCTCTCTCTCTCTCTCTCTCTCTCTCTCTCTCTCTCTCTCTCTCTCTCTCCTCTGCTTTTTCTGCGATAACAATGATGCGCACTACCTCCTTTTAATTTCTTGTCTTGCTGAGATATCTTGGAAGGAAAGAAATCAAATTATGAGGCTGTACTCTAAGAAATCCGCGTGAGAAGATTGCCGATAAAAACAATCATGAAAAGACAATTAAATCTGGGAAACTTGAAAATAAATAAAAGCCTTCAAGATCTCGTTCGTCTTGGACAGTGTCTAGAGTACATTGGACATACCAGTGGCACCCTCCAACCGCCTGCTTTGACAGTAAGGATTAGGACCAATAGCAATGTATGAAAGAACTGTTGCGCAAGGCACGGAAGACCCACATGATGATATGTGCAATTATTATGAAAGAGAAGGTTGGGGTGGGGGGTAAATAAAGACCGGATTGGGTTTCGGCCGGTGTCAACAACCTTTAGGCCATAGCTGGACTTTCACTTTCAAAGGTCCCTGATACACTCACTATCGATACTCGGAGTCACTGGATTTCCCGGGGGCTGTCGTGGCCTAGAGGTTAAGGTGTTCGCCTCTCGT